AAGTCAAGGACATTTACTGAGACATCATAAATATATCGGCCTACATGCATGGATGTTTGTAAATATATGTATGAGATTTAATTATTATGATCTGGGCTGTATGAATAATCCAAGATTAAAAAGTGTTATTATTTTTTCTGTTCTGGCTTACACAAAAAGAACAGAAATATGTTCCAGAAATCATTTATTCTGTGTAAAAGCTAATAACAAATCATTGTCGAATTATATACAAATGATTCAATATGATAAGAAATTTCATAAATCATCAGCATCATAATGCTATCATCTATAAGCAATAATGAACATAATAAAATAAATGATGTATCAGTGAACATGATTATTTGACAACACATAGCCACAGCATCTATACTGTTCAGATAATCAGAATTGTATCATTATCTGTTTATAACCCAAAACTAAGTTTTCATACTTCTGTGCCTGTGTTTCATAACATAGTAAACGATGCCAATTCACAACTTCTGTTACCAAGTTAACATACAAGGGAAGAGATAATTAATATGAAAGAATTGTTCACCATTTGATGCAAATCTTCAAAATGATTTGTAATCATCTGATGAAAACAAGCCCTTAGCTCAGAGCTGTTTACCTCAACAATACACTAGATTTATCCATTATCTAACATTATAAAATACTGATTTGAATGGGAATAATTACAAAAATCTCACTCACAATAGAATGAAAAACAATATACAATAACCTACTAGGTTATATCTACATACATGTACAAGGAGTTAATTTGACAAAAATAGTTTGATAGTTCAAGTAATGATAAAACCTTTGTTAAACATATAGAAGTAGGAAGGTAACCATTGAGAACACAAGTTATATGGATAAACTTCTTCTAGTTATAATACATACTACGTTTCGAAACACATACAGGCAACATAATCAAGTAAAATCACATTTTACTTCATGTAAGCCATTACTACATCAAGGTAAATGCCTCATAATAACATTTTACTTGATAACCTTACCTGTATGTGTTTCGAAACGTATGTAATAAAACTAGAAGTAGTATATCCATATAACTTGTGTTTCTTAATGTTCAAGTTATGATGTCAATAAATCAATTAGTTTAAGTTAATCTTTATAGTTCAATTCTTTCATAGAAATCAGCCAACACTAATACATCACCATTAGTCATTACATCCTTACCAATTAAATAATAAACTAGAACCGTTATAACGGTACCGAAGCAGTGCGCATCCAACCTGATACATTGATAAAACGTTGCATTTTAAAGTCACAATGGGATTTCTTACCGGAAAGAAAAGCATGTAAACGTTCAATAGTAGAACAAATCGTTTAAACCGTTTACCGTTCGGTAGTGAAAAGACGCATGAATTTGATACCATTCGGTACTAAAAGGTGTTAACATTCGGTAGTAAAAAGTCGAATTTTCAAATAGCTGTAAAGTTAAAAGTTCAATTCGCACAACAAAAATGAAAATATTTTTGGAAAGGTACAATAATTTGTGTTTCGGCCAAGAGGTCAACAGAGGTCAAATAAAAGAGAATATGAGCCTTAAAAGTGTTGAAAATTGCTGTTTTGGGACGTTTGTAAAAGCGAAAATATATGTCGGACATCAAAGATAGAAGTATGAATGGATATCGTAGATCAATAACCTTTGACCTTCTAAAGACCAAGTTTATGCATGTAAATGGTCAAAATATCAAAATTTTATAAATTGTAAATCCTTTTCCCTTTTTTAAAGTAAAAGGCCTAAACAAAATGTAACTCTATCAGATATTGTCCCAAATAGTGCTTTAATTTTTTGTAAAATTTCGATGGTGAAAAATGCAAACTTTTCGAGTTATAACAATTTGAATTATTTATGGTAAAGGTAAAAGTAACCCTGATTTGCCACGCCCACTGCAAAAATTTTGTATTGTCTGTAATAATGTGTACAATGTCAAATAATGTTCAAAATTTCAAGTGTTTACAATCATTAGATCATGAGATATTCGTAGTTAAAAGTTTTTTTAAGGCAACGGTGACTGTCGGTGGATTATAGAAACCGTTAAAATTACGCAAAGTTACTATAGAAGTCAATACAAAATTTTCAAATTCAATTTTAATCAAAATACCAAGTGTTATATATCATTTCAAAGAATAGATTGCGTGTAATAAGGACTAAAGATAAATTTTCGCTTATATAAATTAGGTCACGTGATAGACCTTTTT